TGTTTTAGCTTTAGGTTTAATTTGAATTTCAGCATTTTTGTTATACTTTCCTCCACATTCTTGTCACAATTATTAGTTTGTTAATATTCAGTCACATCTTCCTGGCTAACTCTCTTTATAAATTCAGCGCTTTCCATTTGTATTTCACGTTTGATAACGGTCTTGAAATAAGAACGGAAATATTACGTTTTTAAGTTAACAAGATGTTTTTCGGAGTTGTTTTTGTATTATATTTTCTTCATTTGTCGGCGGGTAAAGGTTTTTGAAGTTTTTCTCGTTGGCCTTCACACATCTGAAGCGTTCGTAATGATTATAATAATTGGATTTACTTGGCATATATATTAAAGGCTAATATCAACGAGGCTATGCGACTATGAAATCACAAAAGCAATAAAATCAAAGCATTTAGCTGCTGATTTTTTATAGCCTAGATAAATAAGATTGTCTGTCGAAATATATGATTTTTTTAAAAAAATTGATAGATTCTGCAATGCGTTCAGCGACTTGCTACAGTCTACATCGCACTTCGCAAAGCCGGAGAAGTCAGCCATCTCAAATGGAAATGCGAATTTCAGTGTACACCTCGGCTTACTACCAGCCGCTCTCTAACAGATGATTTGGAAGAAAAAAGCGAACGGATGGAGCATTGTCTTCAACAGTGGAAAGACGAGTTGCATGCCAAGCGTATGTTGTATAGTGAATTGAATCATTTCACTACCCGGCAGTTGTTGGTCCTTCGAAGGGAGCTGGCCAAGGTTCAGGGAAGAGGTCCCAAGGCTGTCGATAGCATTCCTCTTGAAGTTTATAACCTGTTGGAGAGTGTGTTGCCGGGGGTTGAGCCAGCCATTCTCAAGGAAGTGCTTATTTCTTGTGGGATTTGCAACCAGCAAACAGGCCACAATATCGTTAGGTCGTATGGCATTACTGGCACAGTTCACCGTAGCATTCCACTGCGCCAGCCCAGGTCGCAGTCGTCACACGTGGAGATGTTTCAAACGCTTGTGGCAAAATTGGAATCGATTGGTTACCCAGAGGCAGAGCAAATTGCCATAGCAGCAATGATATCATGTAAAGAGGCCAGCGAAGCAGATCTTATTGTTTGGTGTGTAAAGAACGCCAGCAACAAAGATGTAATTGATGCCAGTTACTCAGAAGCCCTTCATGATCCCAGATATTTGGCGCTTATCGATAAAGACCTAGTCGCTCCTGTTGAAGAAGGAAGGTAAGCCATATACGGGATGGTGAGTTTTATTTGTGCATATTTCTTAAGGTTGCCCTTGGACATTTTGGACAAATCTTCAGGAAAGCTGAATATCTGCTACAGAATTGTAAGACACGAAATAGCGAAATGACTATATCATCTTTATCACGTCAATCAGAATAGACAATTAACCTTTTTTCTCTGTTCAATGAATCTTGTTTTGCCAAACTCATTCTCTTGCAGTAGTTAGATGGGCACTGAAAATTCCTAGAACTGAAGCCAGCGTACATGTTGTGCTTAATTTTCTAACCACAAAAGGTAGTTTCTTAAGTCAAACTTGACGCATAGTCAAACCAGGAAAACAATAAATGAAAACAATTCCGGTGGTAACAAGAACTTTCCGATACAGTGGCTATAGTTTATAGCTTCCTTATCAGGTTTCAGGGTAAAGTTGAGTAATAAACAATCGTTCATTGGATTTCTCGTAATTCTTTTTTGATTTTGAAGTCCTTCTGTGGAGGACATGATGATTGAGCCAGAGGAAGTTTCACAACCTATGGACACTGCACTTAGTCTTGACCAGACCGCGGGCGGGGAGTTCCTGAGTCTTGATGAGTTGGGAAAAGTTCTAAGCCAGCTTGCTTCACAAGGTTTGATTCTGGCCTTTGATTTTTTAAAAAGATTGTAAGCGCCAGGAATGTTTTCCGTTACCTTTATAGTATTTTTATGTTCGCCGCGTTCTTAGTTATTTTCGTGTTCGCGCCTTTGGTGCTGTTGTTTGGTTAATTAGTTTTTCATTGTTCGCGTAGCTTTGTCCTTCGTGTTAGGATTTTTCTGCATATCGTATATTTAGCTTTTATTGTAATTTTTCGCGTCAGTTCTTCGTTTAGCTGCGCTTGGTCCGGTTTACAGTTTAATGTTTGGGTTTTGCTCGTCCTAGTTTTTCGTCCTTATCTCGCTATCGTCTTGTAAGTATCTCGTTTGTTTCATTCGCATTTCTAGATTGCCTTATTGCTTTCGTTCAGTTTGTAGGTTGTTTTATCTTGACTTTGTATTTGTTTAATTGTTATTTTTCAGTACCGCTGTACTTCAGTATACTTCGCTATACTTCGCTGTACTTCAGTATACTTCGCTATACTTCGTTATACTTCACATCGGTTCACTTGTTTCCTTGCACCAGTTGTAGAAGTTCTAGAATAAAGTTTGTGTGTTAAAAACTATAGCGCGTAAAGGCTGCGACTATAAAGATCTTTCATAATGTGTACTTGTCACTAAGAACCTGGGGAGTGTGGAAATGGAGAGGGAAATTACCTTTTTTCTGTATAAGAACATTTTAACATCAGCGACTATAAAGGACATTCTGAAACATCTTGGCAGTTGTTAAGGATTAAGTTATCGAATTTTTGTTGCGTAGCAGCATTTTAGAACTAACACATATCTATTCGTTGTTTGCAGGTCTCAAAAAGCGACGAAGACGTCATCCAAAGTACTTAAAGCGCGGAAAGCCAAATCTTGTTGTTATTCCAAAAGGTAGAAACATACGAGGTCCCATGACGAGTTAGTTTATTTTCTCACTTCCTTTAAAATTTTCATCTTGCAGTTTTTTCCCCTTTCCTTTCTTTCCTCCCGCTTTTCGTCCTTTGATAATAGTCCGCTCTTGCTCAAAGAATATTCCGGCTTTATTTGTGCTTCCATGTCTGTATTTCCAATACATTCGCAATTTTAACCCCCATCCCACTTTTCAGTGTGAGTTTGTTATTATTATTTGACATTCCCATTGCAGATGACATTCTAGGAACAGTGCTGTCCTTGTACATGCAAGACACCTCACAATCTCTGCCAAGTTCCGAAGAAGTGTTGATATGCTCTTCTGATACAACTGCAGAAGAAGTAAGCATTTTCGCTCTACAGATGAACAGAAACAACTTTTGGTGTTGTTTAGTTCCCTTTTAGTGATAGTTTGTATTTGCAACCTTTTTAAAGAAATAAGCCATTTGGCACTGGGCAAAGACACATGTCATTCCATGAGAACATTGCACTCATTGTGCTTCGGAAACTTGTTCTTGGATTGGCCACTAGGCTTGTGTGGTATCCTGGGCTACTCTTTCCCTGGGAGATTCGACTTAGTTACGTGCTGACGCTTGGTGATTTAGCGGTTGATTACTTCTTGAACACCCACAGTGTGACGACTTATCACTAATTCGTACGAGCGGGGATGCTGGTTATATTCTAATCACACTGAAACGATTATAAAATATTTTGTAACTAATCTAAATAATCACAAAACACAGAATAGGAGCGGGCATCTCGTTTATTGATGAAGCGAGCGTAAAGCGATACAAAAAACAGCATTACAGTTTTACAAACTCGGAAAATTATTACAGTAAATAAAATAAAAAATCTAGGGTTGAAAGAGATGCCTCGAATGGCTCTTGCATAGGTTAACAAACCTGAAATAGTGTACTAGCCCCTTGAGACACCTTACAAGCACACCTTAAATACTTCTGCAGTATTAAGCAACCTAATATACATACTCTTGTAAAACTAACAAAACGTTACAAAATATATTTGTAAAGCTTAACAACACTTTCTGTAACCGGCAAGCCGACTAGAATTGGAAGACTCTTTCTTTTACATTCACACTGTAAATTCCCTTGTAGATTGAGCTTCTTTGGCGACGGGCCCTCGGAGACCTTGATGGACAGATGTTCTGTTTGGTGAATGTTGACCTTCTTGACTACACTGTTTCCCAGAAAGCTGCTGACAGCCTTGAGTTTTTACTGCAGGAGCCACAATATAATCGCAGCGATGGTATTCAAGCTGATGTTTTTCCTCTGTTTAGTCTTTAACCTTTACACTAAGCACCCCTCTTGTAATAAGTCGCTAGTCAGAGGCGCAAGGTTCTCCCTACCAATATTTGGGCAAGAATTCCACTTGTTAAACGAAAGTGTCGCTGCCAACGCAATATGCGCTATCCTATTTAAATTTTAAAAAAAGCATGCATTAGAATTCATTAAGCCCCCAGTCCAGAAGCACTGAAAATAATTAAGTCGTCAGGGGGAAGGAAGGCTGAAAATATTCTGTCATCTCTGTGCTAAGCGTCAGAAGTATTAATGTGAACTAACGGGAAAAATCTTCGACTGTAATTGACATGGACTTCAGCATGAAACTTCTCTCACTTACCGTGTGACTGTAGTTTTCTTTGTAAGGTTCTTTTTTTATTGACGCTAAACACTCACGGAAATAATGGATTTCGCGAAGGATTTAAGTACGTTTTTTCAACGACAGATCACCTCACACTCCTGTAAAGGGAGTTTTTGCCTGCAGGAGTTATTAGCGCTACTTTCCTCTTGTCTTTGGCGAAGTTTTAGTGCGGTGAATATTTTCTTGTTTTAGGGCTATCACTTGTTGTTATCTGTAGTTCTGAAAATGAAGACAGAGCTCATATGGCTGCAGCACTTGATCAGCACAGACTTGGAACTATTCCGCATTGTGCTGTGTCAAAAGATATCAGGCAGTATCTACAGACACAATTCAAGGTGTGCTCTCGACTACAAGGAAGGCTGCGAGATAAGATCCTTCAATGGGAACCTGCTGCAATGGTGGACAAAGAAAAGTAAGAATACAAAGTTGCACCCTATTTCACGTTGCAATACACCTTTTTAGTGACTACGTCTACTTTTACTCTAAAGCTAAAGCTGAGTCGAAAGACCTTTTTACACGAGCATTCCTATTTAGTTTTAATTATCCATTGGATAAAACAGAGTACAAGTTGAGATAAGGAAACCCGATATTGCGCTCAGTTAAACAGGAAGTAGAGAATGTTAGCAGCACCACCAACTACACTATCACCACGAACAGCACAACAACCACCACAGCTGGCAAAATCAGTGACTGCACCACCCCTCATTAACACTAACAACACCATATTGACAACATCAGCGACTCCTCCGACCACTACTAACAGCACCAAACAAACCGCTCCCATAGACAACAACACCAAAACAAAACTTAAAAAAAATATGTATGACCAGCTATATCAATATCTGAATGAAAATGTTTATTAAACAGCAGCCAGTCTGGTTTCCGCTCGGTACACAGCACTCTTACTGCCTTGTTGGAGACAAACGATAACTGGTGTGTCAATATTGATAAAGGTCTTCTTAAAGGGAACCTCCACTTCAAAAAAAAGATAACTTTAAATCACAGGAAATAACTGTTACAGTCAAGTCAATCTAAAATATTTTTAAAGAAAGCGTTTGTATCCGAAAGAAATGACTTTTAGGTTCGCCTATTTTTGTTTTCAAATTTTGCGGGCGTCGCCATCTTAAATAATTGTGACGTGTTACGGTTGCCCTATTGTTATTAAACAAAAGCTCTTTGTGTCAAACAATAGAGCAACCATAACACGTCACAATTATTCAAGATGGCGGCGCCCGCGAAATTTGAAAGTGAAAATAAGCGATTTTAAAATTCACTTTTCCTGATATAAACACTTTTTTTGTTATCATGAGTCCCATGATAACTCTGATAGCACGATTTTGAAGTTTTTGAAGATTCTCACTAAGCTGTTGGGTCAAACCATCCTATACAGCGCTGCAATAATCAAACTGTGGCTCGATAAGACCTTTGTATATTTTAATTGCAGTGTGTACTGAAACAAATGGCCTGACCCGCTTAAGAGCACCGATGCCAGAGGATACTTTTTTAGAGATTTCATGAATGTGGGCCTTCCACGAGAGATTTTCATCAATGATAAGCCCGAGAGATTTGCTTTGATTACTTTGGTTTATTGGGACGCCGTCTATATGAATGTTCATTGTGTAGTCATTTAAGGACTGTAGTTTCTGCCTGAAGCTAATAACCATAAACTCTGTTTTGGCGACATTGAGACCTAACTTATTAGCCTTGAGCCACCAAATCTAGCTATGATACTAGTTCCAGATTTCTTCGTAACTCGCTTGGTTGGGACAATTTATCGGTTAGAAGGGCTAAACAAAAGGCTAACGTGATGTACAAGTGCATTAATAATCTCGCCCCAGCTTATCTTTGTATAATTTGTTTTCCCAACGAGAAGAAACAATTAATGCTCCGCAAACCAAGAACTGATTACAGTTACAGTGGTGCTCTTTTATGGAACAATCTTCCAGAGGAAATACGTACATCAAACTCCTTAGGTCTCTTTAAGAGAAGTTCCCATAGATGGTTTTCTGATCAGTACTCCCACACGGCAAATATGTAAAACAGTTTTTGAGAATTTTTGATTAATTTTCTATGTTAGGCTGATGTTTTTAACCGTGTATAAATAAAGTTATCATTCATTCATTCACCTATACTATGCATATTTAAAGGCGTCTATATCACCAACAACATAACATAGCCAACAGTCTCTCCATCTACAGTACCAAACACCACTGCAGCTAATTTCAGCAAGAGCCGCGTTAGTATCACCACTGCCAACACCACCTTTAACACCATCGTTATTGAACTCAACCCATGAAAGTGGCATTTGAGTGGCCACCGCCACCACCTTTTACAAAACACAGTCCAAACAGGATCAATAACAAGTGTGTTTTGGTACGTCTAAATTGACCTTTATCAATGCGTTTCCTATCTCTAAAAGAAACATTCCGTTTATCCCATACAGGTTGTCAGTAAGAGTTGTGTCCTCAGAAAGGGCAGGTTGCGGCAAGAGCTTGGTGGTTCGGCGACTTAGTGAAAGCTTAGTTCAACTTGGAAACAATAATGAAGTATTGAGTTATCTCAGAGATATGGAGGCAGATGTGCCTCTGTGTATCAGCGTCCCAATTTATGGACCAGCTGTGGATCAATGCGCCGTTGTGGAGTCCTTGTTACCGCATATGATTGTGCCTGATCTGCCACTTTCCCGGATTTTTCACCTTGATGTCCATCCGTTGGTACTAAATGCTTTGTTACATAATATAATATTTTAGCGTACTTTAACTGAATAAATAGCACATAAACGTATTTAAAAAAGCTTGAGATAGCTACGACCTGAAAAATGTTTGAAATGTACAAAACATTTTTAAAAAGATGTTTAAGAACTGATTCGCACCTATCTCAACTGACCATCCTTGTGATGGTTGTATTTTGACAGGTGAAGAGTGGCCTTGATGCACTTCTGTTTAATCTCTTGATACTTGGTGTCTTGAAAAGCAGTAGTGGACAGGTCTGGAGACGGAGAGTATCTGATTTGTATGTGATTGAGCTAACCACCGGGCCAACACAAGGGGTCAATGAAACTGTTCAAAGGCGACCGTTACTTTCTAAGGTAAGGTTCAGTGAATCGTTAAGCCATCAACATCAGAGTGGCATAAGAGATATTGTGGGAGCATTTAACTTTTCTCGAGAGAAGAACCGTCTATGCGCTTTTTATGGCTTATTGGACCGATTTAAAGACTTTCTGTGCGACAACTTACGTTGATGTCGCGTTTGCCTATCTGTTCTTATCTTTTAAATATCTCGTTTTTGTGATAACTCATGCCAAGGCCTTTGCGGTTATTTCGTCCGCCCTATTCAAAAATGCCATAAGACAATTGGGTAGGAACAAGCAAATGGCTCGTGGAAGGTTACATGATCTTTGTTTCACTAGTTTAGTCATTTTTTTAAAAGCTGAAATGATATGTAAACGATGGTAGAATAGTTTAGTGAAGGAAGGCATTGAATCGCTAAATTTGTTTTTTCAATAGCCTGACGTTCGAAAAGTCAAAGCAGAGCCTTTTTACAGGCTGCTTCCTACCATTGAATGTGAAACACCATTGCGAACGTTGAGTCAGTTGAGGACTCAGAAAATGGGTAAGAAATTCTAGTTTGTAGTTACATATTCCTTTCTGTTAGAGTTACATTTTGTTTGATTGAACAGGATGTCAGTTGTGTTTCTTTCTAATTTTATTGTAATTGGTACCAGTTTTCTCTAAACACGGGGAAATTTTGTTTGACTGAGAGATCTGAGTCATGCACGGAAAACGATACACGACCTGGTTCAATTTTACTAGGTTTGTCTTCATATGCGAGCTAAAATTGCAGAATCAGCAGTGTCAAAGGGCTCCGACTATACCTTGTACATTACACTAATAACCCTCTAAAACCCCAATATTCACATGCAAATTCTCTAGACTGATCAGCATACGTTTACTCAAGGAATTAGTTGAGAGAATTTGTTTAAAGATCGAAGTATTTTTCTGGAGGTAATTATGTATGAATATGATGAAAAGTAAACTTATGTTAGTCACTTTTGGGTCTTAAAGGGTTAAATAGGAAAGTAGATAGAACAGGTAAGGTAAAATTACAACGCGCAAATGTCTTGTTGGAACTTGGTGACCTAAAAAATGTCGACGATGTTCATGCATGCCATATCTAAAACCTTTTTGCTCTCTCCTTTTTTCGCAGGTTGTGTTAATCTCAACCCTTTGTTCGACAATGCTGAATTTCAAAGCTCATATGTTCAGCGGGCGTTTCAGTATCTCAACTTTTGGGAGTCAGCAAGAGAGAACCTGAATCAATTCTGGTTTATTCCAAGTCAGGTGATGGGTGACCATGCAGATTGTATAGACACGCTCGTAAGGTACATTGTTTTTAAGAGCATGAGGAGATGAGGGAGATTAAAAAATTACTCTTTTCACTAAACAAGATGTACTCTTAGCTGATACTCTAAAGCCTTGCTCGCGCTATAAAACGCTAGCAACCAGGAAAAAACAATCATTTGGTAAAATCTTGTTTCCCTCTTCAGTTTTTGTTGTAACATTTAATTATCGAGATGGAATGAACAGCTACAATCGGCTACAAGTAGTTGAGACACCGCCTTAAAGGGCCTTTCTGACTTTTTTTTGTCGCCGATTTTATATTGGCATTGAAGGGAGGAGGATTTGGTTATCGTTTATGCACTTGTTTCAGAAATTGTGGCGTTGTGGACCCGTCATGGGCTGAACTCCGTCATTTTGTGAACTTCCTCAACTCTCAGCTCCAAGCTTGTGAAGACAGTGCGTTTTGTAACATGGAACTTGTGGGAGACACCCTTGAAGGCTTTAGAAGCTTTGTGGTCCAATTCATGATCCTTATGTCACGGGTAAGAAATATGGAAAAGGTGCGATCGAGCAACAAATTGGGCACAATTGCCAAACACCAAATGCTACCCTTGGAGGAAGTACTTGAATTCCCATGGGTGGTGGGCGCCATCTGTGTGTTATGCAATGAATTATTATTCGACATGGCTGTTAACTAGATTCCCGATCTTGTCCTTGTTTTAATGATTTCTGGTACACTTTTGGCGCTTTTTGACCTACGTTTGGCGTGGGTTTATTTTGGACCAAAAATGTTCTTTTCTGGAAAATCCATGTAAAATCTTGACGATGTTCCAAAATGATGCATTAAGACGGTGGTCAAACCCTTGTAGTGATTAGTATGCAATGGATGGAAAAGTCAGCAATCGAACCATTTAAATAGAAACAACTCTAAACCACCTTAGCGATCGCGGCGTTAATGATCAACGGAATTTTTGAACCCAAGAACTCACACATTATTGCTGTTCCTATTGTACTGATATTTTTTCTTTACGTTTGTAACTGAGAAATTCCTGCTCATGTGAAACTTCCCTTTTTTGAAGGATTTTGCTACGCCATCTCTGAACTGCTGTGATAGACCTGCTCAAGCCCTTGTTGAACGCGATGACGATATTGCTGATGATGACGAAGAAGACACGGCTGTTCTTCAGTTGTCTTTAAGAAGACACTGGGAAACCAGGTATGATGTCACGCCACAGTCTTCCATTTTTATAGTATTACAGTGCTAAAGGTAATATCTACTAAATGGGAGTCGCTTAATTCTTAGAATTCGATTTTTCTGTACAAAATTCTACAGTACTTCCTCAACGTAAACTGTTTAAACAATTTCCACGTAAATTTTTATTTCACTGGTTAAATTTGTGTGATTGTCGTTCAGAGATTAAGTAGTTTCGCAAATCATGATGTTTTCATTTAGACGAATAGTAATTTTTGATGATGACGGTTAAACCCATAAACAATTTAGATTCTCCGATTTTTGTAAACGTAACTCTTTCTTTTATATTTTTTCGCTTGTTTTTTTTAATGGATTGTATTTGTTCAACAGTTCACATCCCTACATATTCTTCAATCAAGATCGCGTTACCATGACGTTTGTTGGGTTCCATATTGACCAGAATGGCAATTTAATTGATCCAGACCGCCGTGTTATCATCCAGCCTAATTTGATGTCAAGGCACTTGCGTACTGGTCTTTTCGTCCAGAAGGTTGACATGGAAACCAATTACGAATCTTGGAGCAAGTATGAAATATAAATCTTTATTTGACATGATCTTTAAAGATTTTGATGAGTCTGTAACGAGATGTCATGAGGTTAATGCACTATTTGTTTGTTGCGCTTAGGGGAGAGAAAATCGAGAAGCTTTGTGGAGTGATGGGTGTTGAGTGGCCCTATGATCCGGATGATTCTTACGAACTCACCACGGATAACTTGAAGAAAATTCTGGCCATCCACATGCGCTTCAGGTAAGTCAAATCATTTAAATGAGTGATGAAAACTATGATGAGTGATGAAAAAAGTCGGAGAAACGTCAGACTCGTGAAACGCGAATTACAAGCACCAAACCCTCATTTAACCTCAGTAAGCCTTAGGTAATCATAACAGTAACATTGGAAAGCCCGTATTTACGGATTCCATCAAAAACGTACCCGGCCACCACAATTTTGTCTTACCCTCTCCTCCATCTCAACGCCGCAATTTTATGGTCTTTTCCTTCCCACTACCACTGCTGTAATTCTTTAGTTTTCCGGTTCCTTTTCCATCGCACTGCCACAGTTATGTTGTCTTCCCTCTTTCTCCTCCTCCTCCTCCTCCACCACCACCAACGTGGTTTTGTTTTCGTCCTCCTTTCTCCACCACTCCGCAACGGTTATGTTGTCTTCTCTTCCCCATTGTATGTCGTCCTTTCTTCTTCCCCACACACCGCCTTGGCTGTGTTCTCTTCACTTCCCTACAACAGTCACCACCACAATGTTTTTGTCGTCCTTTCTCCTCCAACACACTATCACTGTTATGCTGTCTTCTCCTCTCGATCATTACAAGCACAATTTCTGTCGTCGCCCTTCCTTTCCTCCCACACAGCCCCTACTTTGTTGTCTTCCCTTCTCCACCATCCCGCCACGATCATGTTTTTCCCGTCTTTCACCACCATCATAGTTTTAAAGTTGTCCTTCCTTCTCCACCACACCGCTACCGCTCTGTTGACTTCACTTCTCTACGAATAGCACCACAACAATTTTATTGTTGTCCCTCTTTCTCTACCGCACCGCCACGATTGTTTTGACTTCACACATTCTCTTCCACCACCACCACAATATTTTTGTCGTCCTTCCCTCTTCACCACTCCGCCACGATTATGTTGTCTTCCCTCCTCGACCACCACCAGCATCACCAGCATC